TTGGTTGTACTCATACTACACTCTGCACTTCGTGTGCAGATCCAGGTATTTCCGGACACAATGGTTGCTGATTTTGGAGTTTTTACCAGTTCGAAGATTATCGAGGTAGCTGCTTTGGTGTCCGCATACTTTGACTCTCCTCCTTTATTGTCTTAGTTTTATTTATACTGTTCTACCCTCCTAGACAATGTTTCAGACCATATTATTGTATAGATGCTCATGTACTCAGTGAGACCCGGATTTTGAAAATTCTGTGTTGAGTTTCGACGTTTCCTTCCAGTTATTATGAGATTTTATTTACTTAAGCCTATTTCAGCATGTTTTAAATTAAAGATGCCTGTTAAATTGTGAGTTGTCGGCTTGCCTAATATCGCGTTAGGCGATATCACGACATGTGAGATTTGGGTCGTGACAATATAAGGATAAGAATAATTTAATTTTTAAGAAGAGATAAATAATAATGAGAGAAGTCATACTATATGGATCAGATACACATCTTTGAAAATATTATAATAGATAAAACTAAAACAAAAAATATGGACAATTGACATAATTTTAAGAAATAAATTAAAAATATAATAATTATATATTTTAAATTTTTATGTATTTAATTTCAATAAAAAATTAAAAGTCAAATTTTCATATAAATTAAAATAATTCTATAAAATTTCATAGTAGGAAAAATAATATAGAAAGAGGGGTAGAGATAGTGTGATAAAATTTGTACTTTGAATTGATTAAAAAAAAATTATATCTCTTGCTCAATTATTTCAAGGTTTGAGAATCGAGATGTATGATGCATGTAGTTTGGATTTAAATAATTTTAAAGCGATTCTCAAATGAGAATGATCATGGTCATGCAGTTCGATTGGATCAATGGTAAAGCAACTCCAATGATGTTGTAAGGGAGTTAATTCAATCATAAATGTACTTGAAAATAATGGAACTGATGGTAAGTTATACATCAATGTATTTTATGGGTTAATATTTTAATGTATGAAGCTTCTTAGAGATCAGCTGAATTAAATGTTAATTGTGTTATCTTACTGTGTAACAAATTATCTAAGAATTTATAATTTGCTTATATCTTAGTTTTTTGAAAGCAATACATATACTTTTTAGTTTTTCCTATTAATGCTGCAGTTGTTATGCTACAATAAATAGGAATGAGAGTATGGATTTTCTCTAATGGGTCAGGTATGGTCTGTAACTTTTTAGTCCATTGTTAATATTTATGTTCTCACAAATTATTTGTGTAATTTGATTGAGTACTTATTGGTGTCGATATATACGTGTGAATTAGAATAAAAATAGATTTATACAGGGTGAACATATAAATGAATATAATGCACTATTTGAGGTTGTTATTTACACAAAATACAGCGAATTATAAAAAATTAAATATAAAATTTATTTAATTAATAATTACCAATCAAGATGTAAGAACTCATCTTCTTTTAAGACATGTGCACGTTAGAAGAGAAATATTAAAAGTACGTTAAAAGTTTATTTAATTAAGAATATGTTGATTCTTATAAAATGAATTGCTAAATAAAATTAAAACTCATAAAGTCGTAGAGCTTTATCGAATATTCTTACTTACAAATAGTGACCTGAACAACCGTCTATGTTCCAAAGATGTCATTTAAATTGTTAAAAGCAAAGTGACTTAAATTGTGTGGTTAAAATTGAAGTGACATCACAATTATTAAGCAAATTTCGATCCAACTGTTCTATATGTTGGTAACTCTCAAAAGTAAGAATATTTTAGTTGTCAATAAACCATCATATATGTATATTAGTTTGTCTTTCAATATTAAAATACTGAACGTAATAAATAGTGTAACTTTAAGTTAGCAAAAGTAGTTGTTGTTGCGAGAGGTACTTCTGTTGAGATAATAATAGAATATATTTTTGTAATTTAAATTAAGATATTACTATATACATTCTTATTATTTATTACTCCGTATAGTGTTAATTATTTTTGAATTATATTATATTTTTGTTTGTTTGTATTAATGACTATATGTGGGGTTATAATATTTGAGTTACTGCCAATAGTTATTTATATAATTTATTTTTTCTAATTTATAAAATTTAGCAAGATCACAATATTATCCGCGCATAGTAGCGGGTACTAATACTAATAGGAAATAAAAAGACAAGCAATCCAGGCGTCAGAATGGAACTCCAGAATCAGCCCACGAGGGTCGGTGTTTTTGCTAAGTTTAAAGGAGCAAATTCTTATTTCTAGATTCACTTTGTCTTGTGCTTACTCCAAGTTAAATGATAATATTTTAATATTCTCCTTTTTCTTTGATTTTTTGTTTTGTTTATTTTAATCAACATATTTTAGATTAATTCCATTGTTTTTCTTTCGATTTAACGGTTAGATCATTTATTTTTTTAAGATTAAAACGTCAGAATATGAATGCATATCTGAATATCAAAATATGTATTAAGATTAAGATATTTGAATCTGAATACACATTTAAATATCAAGTTGTGTATTAAGATCTGAATATTAAATAATTAAGACTATTTATTTTTTTAACATCTGAATATATAAAATTTATCTTTATTTAAAAATTAATAAACATAAAATTCAACTAAAATATTAATTAATCTAATATTCTATCAATAATATCTATATACATGATAATTGGTGGTGGTGATAGCTAACGGAGGTGCCTGTGAGTGCCGACTAAAGGCGGTGGTCGTTTATAATTGTGGGTGGTGCTGGCTATGGTTATTGATGGTGATGGGGTGGTTGGTTTGTGGTAGTTGAGGTGGGTGAGTGTGTGGTTATGGTTAAGGATGATGCTGGTGGGGGTGGTATTAGTGATGACGGATATGGTTGAGGATGGTGGTGGCGGCAATTAGTAATGATTGTGGATGATAACATCTTCATAAAATTAAGTCTTGGTTATAAATCTTAATCATACAGACCTTTTCAGATCATTAAGTGTCTGTGAAGTAAAATAAACAAACACACTTAATGATTAAGATCTGAATGATGAAGATTCAGACTTTAAAATCAAACGCCTTAATGTCTAAGATCTGAATGATTAAGATTCAGACCTACATTAAGTTCAAACAAACGAGGCCTTAGTGTTATTTTGAGATCAGCAACACTTTAAGATTCATGGTGTTAAACCAAGTGAAGTTTTTAAATTAAAAGAATTGAGGTGTTTGTGTTTACCCGTAAAATGAATTGAGTTAAATTTGTACGTAGTTCTAAGGGTATGTGGTATAACTTGGCACGAATCGTAAGAATTAATAGAAATATCAAGTGTTGACTATATAGAATGAAAAATAAGCAAAATTCGGAAGAATGTGATTTATAGATTAAGCAAGATAAATCTATTGATAAAGCTAAAAAAGGATAACTCTTTAATGGCGGAGTGTATGATATCTCAGTTATAATGTATGCTAAAATTTGGTCCTTTCAAAATTAATAATCATCCCCTTTATAGTGGAGGAATCCTAGTTTAGATATAATTAAAAATATATAGTGGGAGACCAATGATAAATCAGCTTTTCCATAGTTCCTGTCAGGATTCTCTCCTCTAGTGGGATTGCAACGGCTCTTGTCTATGAGCTCGATATTGATTCGAGCTTGGTATAAACTCGAGCTCTCGATCTTGACTCGAGCTCTCGATCTCGACTCGAGCTCGATTCTGACCCGACTTCTTATATTGATTCGGGGTCAGTGTTGGTCGGTTCCTGCCTCATAAGCTCGATAACTTTACTTTGTATCATAGTTCGATTTGGATTCGAGCTCGATAATGATATCAAGCTCGACATTGATCGGTTTCTAGGGCTCAAAACTTGGTGACCTGACTTCGGACCTCAACTTGATTATGAAGATGCTTCTCCGATCCAGTACATTACCATTTCGACCAGTTCGTACAAAGGACTAACCGGTTTTTACCGTATACAGTTTGTTTGAAACATTTTCAAGAGAAAATTTCTTTGATTGAAAATTGTCTTGATGTACTTCATTTTAAGAAGTTTTTTGAGAACCAGAACAGAACTTTTCAAGAAACGAGTACGAACACTTTTTCTCCAACTAATTATCATTTTTTTAGTCTCGCACTATCAATAAATTTGATTTCGTCCTTGTATTATTTGTCTAAACGCATTTAATCTTAATTTAATTGAGATATACGCTTTTAATCCATCTGCTTGCGATTCTTTACAAATTTAATGAATTACTAAATATTACACCATATAATTATCCATGTATTATGATAAAGTTTTACTATTACTTCATACTCGAGATTAATATAATTCTAAAAATATATTTCCTAATTCATGAGGGCTTCTGGTTTCCCTATCATCAAGTCTAACAACTTTCTTGGCCTTCCAAAGCTAAGTAGGTGTCCGCCCCCATACAAGATCGAATTAATACTAGATAAATAAGAATTAAATGCGCAAAAAACATAAAACTTAATTAACTAAATATTAATTACTTACATATCACAAAGATGAAAAGTGCTAGTATATCCTTTTTTATAAGTATTTTCCAAAATATCTCCCCAAAAAGCTATCCTAGTTGCCATAATTTTCATCTTGACCTGATGAATGGAAAACTGTTTTTCAAAGAATAAAAAGAGAGAAAATTTTCAAAATAGACATGAAAATGGACTGACCCTTGGCTTATTAGCCATCTATTTGCTGTTATTACCTTCCGTGCCTTCATGCATTTCTTAAAGTGGACCCCACTATCCCAATTCATCATATCATGGGGCCCACATGGTAGAGTGCTCAACTCCAAGTCTCCAATTATCTCCATCTCCTTGTAAAAAATATGGCAATATGCTATGGTCCCTTGCTCTCTCTGTATATATTTGTCTTTTAGTGCACCTATATATCATGTCAACATCAATGGCGGCCAACAATCTGCATCTTTCACTAACATAACTTTTTTATTCTAGTATTTATATATAGTACCAAAAAAAACAAGAGGCTAAAATAATACTAGTAGTAAAAATCTATTCTTTTTCTTTTGTTGGTGTACTTCAATTGGGTGGATAATAGTGGAGACTAACTTTCTAGAAAAGTGAAATAAAATACTAATTTAAAATAAAAGAGCATTGCTTTCAGTAACTGTTTTAAGATGCTTAAACTACAATTATTATTACAGTACATGTGAATTGTTATATCCCACATGGAGAGTGGTGGCGTTTCCTATTTTTGATCTTTTTAAGGATTTTTTTCAAGATTCGCATAAAATTGTCTATCTCTGGCTTTAATGAGTGGAGAATCTGTGTTTGTGTCTCATTTCAGCTTAGAATGAGGTTTTGAGCTCTATTTTTGGGTGAAAATTTGGGTCTTTGGTTGCTTGGTTTGACTTCTTATGTAAAATTGAGTTCAAGGTAATTCGTCTTGTTTCTGTGAATCCAGTGAAAGATTGTTGTTTTTTGTGTTTGGGAGCTTACTATAAGAGCTGGGATTTGCACCATACTCAACGTTTGGAGTTTTAATTTGCTTGAAGAATCTTGGTTAGAATTTCTGATTTTTGGTTTGATAATTTGGACTAACTTTGTAAATTTTCATATGATATGTTTTGAGTTAGAAAAGGGTGAAAGTTGAATTTCTTGTCCTTTTCTTTTGGGGGGTTATCTTAGTAGTTAGAATTGAAAAAACTGACCTGATAATGATGAAAAGTTTCAAGCTTTGTAGTTCTTGAAAGTGGGAAACAAAAAGTCGGATATAGAAGAATTTATTTGAAGGGTCGGATTGAACTTTTGTGGTGGTGATGGAGAAACAGATTAGCTTTCGTGGGGTGATGGAGAAACAGAAGAGTTTTCGAAACGGGACGATTGAGAAACAGAAGAGCTTTAGAGGGTTGATGGAGAAACAGAAAAGCTTTAGGATAGCAATGGAGAGGCAGCTGAGCTTTGGTGGTGGTGAGAGGAAAAGGGGTAAGGAATCACCAGGAAAAAGAGGGGATTCTCCACTTCACTTGGCAGTTAGAGCAGGTAACCTAGGGAAGGTGAAAGAAATTGTGCAGAAGCTTGATAATAGCAAAGGCATCAGTGATTTGTTATCTAAGCAAAACCAGGAGGGTGAGACTGCTTTGTACGTTGCGGCGGAGAATGGCCATACCTTGGTTGTTGCAGAGTTGTTAAAACATTTAGACCTTCAGACGGCTTCCATTCTGGCGAGAAATGGTTATGATGCATTCCATGTTGCAGCAAAGCAGGGTCATCTTGGTGAGTCTTCGTGCCCACAGAAAAAGATAAAAAGAGAACATTCTCCTTCCTTGGTTTTGAGTCAATGATTCCTTCTAGTACAGATTGTAATCCTCGTGAGATAATGCGTATGTTTTATTGGTACGATGCACTTGACACTGGTTGATTTTCACATGCTACCTATTGCTTCTGTTAGCCCCCCATTTAGAGCAACTTGCATCCTTGATTTTTTCTTCTAAAACCTTTAAATTAAGCCTGCTCTAGTGCAGATTACTTGTAGCTTTAGTAAAATACTAGATAACTTATCTTAAAAAAATGTTTCCATTTGAAGACTTGGCATATAAAACATGTTCTTCCATAATAGAAAATTAGAGGACAAGACTAAGTTCAGAGCAACCAAAGCTAACTTTCCTGCATTCGGCCACTATCAAATTATGAAAATATTGGGCTGTTAATATCATATTGCGATATTATAGCAGATAGATGCTGAAGGATGCTAATCTGTATTTTCCTTTCATCTGAGTGCAAAACTTTCGCTTGGAGGGGGGCGGTCCAAGTTATTCAAGATTAGTAGTGCAAAGTTTCTCGGCCATTTGATGTAGGATTACTTAGTTCTATTTCTCGGTAGGGGTGGGAAGGTATATAAGTCAGTGTAGTGTGACACAGTGGAACGACTGCTGTATATATCCTGTTAATACATGAAATAGAAAAGCAGCAGTTTTGAAATTTAAAATTAAGAAAGCTGTTAAGAGATAACTATGCAATTATGTCACCGAACAAAATCGTCCTAGGAGAGGGTGAATTTAGCATCTGCACAAATCATGAATTACCTGAAGTGAGCATTTTGTAGATACATAAGGACCTATAGAATAGTGTGTCTTGTGGTGGCATAGAAGTTGAAAGGGTTTGAGTTGGAATTACTTTTATCCATATCTGTAGGAGTCAAAATGGCTTGAACGAGAATCCATCCTGCAAAGATTGTCCAGATCCTTAAAATAAGTTGTACCTTTAGATCAACTACTTGAAACTCTATTGATACAATCATTCCGTAAACCTTTTTCCCAATAAAAAAATTTGAAGCTAAAAATAGTAAAAATATTAATTGAGTTAAAAGTGATACATGTCTATCCCTTAAAAATGATTTCTTGTTAAGAGAAAATAAATAAAAAAATGTCAGAAACCTGAAACAATGATTACTTGTTTAAAGAAATATATAGTTGTTTGATTGGAGAAACATCACAAAAAGTGGATAGTTTATTTTTCTGCAGGAATTAAAATTAAAGATAAATCTTATGGAATGGACATGATGTATCCTTCTGAAACTATTGTTTACACTAGCCCATGAAGTGCAGGATTTTTTCATTCTTTGGGGGCTTTGCGAATCATTTTCATTTAGGTTTCCACAACTATTCTTCTACTCACCAACAAATTCCCAAAATTTGTCAGCTTAACACTTCTTTTGCTGCTTCCTAGTCCTGATTGTCACACCCAATTAGCCATGTCGTTCATGGATGTTACTGCTTTCTGGAGCCAAATGATGCTAAGATTCCTGGCGTCATAACTAGAATCACATCCAATTACGATGTCAACCAACACTGAGTGCAATGAATAACGATGTTTCTTGCCGTCCCTTGTTCACTTAAAAATTGGTTATGATAATTCTTCGTTTCTTCTCTACTGAAACTTGAGGAAATCCTTTTTCTTCGTCCTCGTTTTTAAGTTTCCTATCTATTTGAGTATCTGAATAAAGCGTGAACCTGATAAACTGCCTTGTGAAACTAGACCGGGTTGATCTTGAGCAGCTTGTCAATAGCTTAGCTCCTCAACCCCCCCTCAATAAGTGCTGTATTTTCAGTACAGCTTAGTTTTGATGAACGTTTTTGATCTTTAAGGTTCCTTGCCAAGGGGGTAGCCTCACGATCAGTGGAGTTGGAATGGACCATGGGGGATCAGGGTTCAAATCCTACCAGAGGCAAAAAAAGTTAGATGATTTCTTTCCATCTTTTTAAGGTGGATAGAGTGACCCGATACCTTTATTGGTAGGACCAGGTATCCGTGGATTAATCAAGATGTGCACGAGCTGGGTCATGTTCTACCTTTATCATAAAAGAACGAAGAATTGAACTTTAAGATTACTTGAGCTTGACGATTAAGCTTATTTACTTCATGAGAAAAAGACTCATTAAGCTTAACACTGTTACTCACAGTTTTGAGTTAGGCCATCACTAGTATGATTTAGTTTGTGCTTAGCCTCTATTGTTTAAGTATATCAAAGCTTACAAACTTGTGATGACAAGTGAAATAAATTTAAATTCTTGATTCTGGATCGCTTGTTATTTTCTGAAGCTTGTTCTGAGTAACAATTGTTAAATTGGAATTAGAATTAGAATGCTTCTTTCTTATTTCTACTCTCTAAAAATATTTTCTGGGATTACATTGCAGAGGTACTGAAGGAACTGTTGCATTCATTTCCAAATCTAGTGATGACAACGGATTTGTCCAATTCTACAGCCTTACATACAGCAGCTGCTCAGGGACACCTTGATGTAATGAATCTCCTTCTGGAGATTGACTCAAACCTTGCGAAGATAGCTCGTAACAATGGCAAGACTATTCTTCATACAGCTGCAAGAATGGGACACTTGGAAATAGTTAAATCTCTTCTGAGCAAAGATCCTGAGATTGACTTTAGAACGGATAAAAAAGGCCAAAGTGCCCTGCACATGTCTGTAAAGGGTCAAAATGTTGATATTGTGCTTGAATTAATCAAACCGAATCCTGCTGTATTGGCTTTGGAAGATAACAAAGGAAACAGAGCACTTCATGTTGCAACTATAAAGGGACGGCAGCAGGTTGGTCTCAGTTTATTAACTATTATTTCTTGTAAACTAGTGACTTCCAGAAAGTTTTAAGGTGAACTAGTGATATGTGCTTTATATGTCGACGTCAAATGTATCTGAATTTAGGCAGAACTGTTCATTTTGTTAATCACATTGAAAATTACAACTTCTGTGAAGAAAGAAAAAGTGGTGGGTGAGTTTATGGAGGAAAACTTTTTGTTGTATCGTGGAGATGGTTGCAGATGCTGGATAAGCCTGATATCTGCAAGCTAAGCTAATTTACACAGCTGGTAATTTTGATGCCCCCTGAAAACAAGAAAGCTGACACTAGTTACTGCTTATAAGGACGAAGAGTTTCTTGCTTAGGGGTCGTTTGGTAGGGCACTATAAGAATATTGCAGAATACAGTGTATTAGTAATGCAGGGATTAGTAATGCATGGGTTAGTAATGCAAGCATTAGTTATGCAGATATTATCTCTTATAAACTGTTTGGTGTGGTGTATTAAAAATTATAATGGATTGCATAATTTTTAAGAAAAATAGTTGTTTACAAAAATGCCCTCCATATTCTCTAGCTTTAAGGGACTTTAAGGACAATTTTGTCTTTAACCATACTAATGCATGCATTAATAGCCTTGGTATTACTAATGTCATGGTTTTCTATGCATTACTTATACATAGGCTAATACCAAGTATGATGTATAACTAATGCAAGTATTAGTTATGCATAGGTTGAAAAAATGTACCAAACAAGGTATTAGTAAAGCACAAAGCTAATGCTTGTATTATTTTTTCTAATACCTCCTACCAAATGACCCTTTACTTTCTTAGGATTGACATTTTCTCGGTACTTTGTTTTTTACCCATGAAACTCCTAAAAAAGGTTACAGTTTTTTGAAACTATGCAAACTCAGTTTTTCAAATCTTTTAGAAACTAAAAAATCCAAATCGTTAGTTTATGAGTTTTAGAAAGATTTCAAAACTGAGTTTGGAAGTCTTAAAAAAAGGTTCTCTTTTTCAAGATTAGCTCCAACAAACACTTGCTGCAAAAGCACAAAGACTGAGTTTGCATACTCAAAAATGCAAAAACTTCAAACAAGCAGCACCTAAGAATCAAAGCTACTCGCTTAGAGAAAAAAGGAAAAAAAGATCAAATTACTCAGAGTTTTAGAAATTTATGTGTGAATCTGATGTTCCTCAGGTTTACGTGAGAATTCTTTTGCTTTTGACATAGATTTTGTACCTAGGTTCTTCCATTGACTATATATGCATGCTCAGTATAGTAACCCAATGTCTTATTTAGTGTACTCTGTTTTTAGCATTCATGTTAAGATCTTATAACTGGGTTCTTTCATCGAATACATATGCATGCTCAATATAGGAACCAGACATCTTATTCTGTGCATTCTCTTTTTAGCATTCATCTTGAAACTTAACTACGTATAATTGCAGATGGTACAATGTCTAATATCAATCGAGGGCATTGACCTCAACGCTGTCAATAAGGCTGGAGAAACCGCTCTTGATATTGCAGAAAAGTCTGGATCTCTGCAGCTCGTTTCCATTTTAAAGGAGGCAGGAGCTACCCATTCTAAAGATCACGGGAGACCTCCCAATGCTGCGAAGCAACTCAAGCAGACTGTCAGTGACATAAGGCATGATGTGGAGTCCCAACTCCAACACAGCCGTCAAACTGGCTTCAAAGTGCGGAAAATTGCAAAGAATGTGAAAAAGCTCCACATTAGTGGTCTTAACAATGCCATCAACAACGCGACAGTTGTTGCTGTCCTTATTGCTACTGTAGCTTTTGCTGCCATCTTCACTGTACCTGGCCAATACGTTGAGGACAAAACAGATGGGGTTTCACTCGGTGAAGCACACATAGCTAGGAAAGCGGCATTCATAATCTTCTTCTTGTTTGACAGTATGGCCTTGTTTATTTCCATTGCTGTTGTCGTAGTACAAACTTCTGTGGTTGTGATTGAACAAAAGGCAAAGAAGCAACTCATGTTTTGGATAAACAAGCTCATGTGGGCAGCTTGCCTCTCTATTTCAATTTCCTTTATTTCACTCACATATGTGGTGGTTGGAGACAAGGAAAAAGGGCTTGCTATCTATGCAACTGTCATTGGTAGCACCATAATGCTCACTACTATTGGTTCCATGTGCTATTGTGTGGTTCGACATAGGCTAGAAGAGTCGAAGATGAGGAGCATAAGGAGGGCTGAGACTCATTCACGTTCATACTCGATGTCCGTGGCATCAGATACAGAGCTTTACAGTGAAAGCTACAAGAGGATGTATGCAGTATAGGAAGAAATAAAAGTCAGCTAAATTTCTGCCCCAAGGTATCAATCCTGGAGGTCTGTAAATAGCATTATGAGTGAATATATGCAGATTCTAAACCCTCAAGTCTGATGAACTTGTAGCAATGGCATCAGATAACAAATTGTGTGAGGAACAGAAGGGTCTATGCAGTTAGGAACAGATGAGGAGAAACTTTAAATAGAGTGCAATAATGACGAGGCGATCCACATCTGCACAATTCTCTAACTGCTGCAGCCACTAAATTGCTTACCATCTGAGGTGACATATATGCTTGGAAGTTCAAGATGAAACTTTAGCAAATCCTTCCCATGAATTTAATAGGTTGAAGGCAAACTATCATGGAGTTTACTACCTACCTACAATTACTACTACCAGACTGCGACTGGATGACAAGAAGGTGCAGATGGCTGATATTCAGTTGCTTTTGCCTATACATAATCCACTCCTTAGAAAAATGTACTAAACAAAATTTGTTATTATATAATTCATCATATCTATTTCCTGTGGTAATGAAGTTCCATCTTTTTCCAGCTTTTATTTGTTAGGAATTTTATGTCGGCTTCACGAAAAGCATCAATAGTGAGCTAGTTCCATAGTTTCCTTCTTCCTGATCCACAGTAACCTACTTCTGGATATCAGGTTTTGATTGCTGCGAAAATAAGGCATCAGAAGAACACTATATTATGTGATTCCGAAAAGCTTAACCAAAAATCAAATTTACAATACAAAATTGGTAACACTAAAGTCTTTTCTCAAGTCTTTTGTGCTCAACTATAACAAACAAATTGTCCTCTTGGTGAAGCACAAACAGATTTCCAGTGATCACAACGGAAAATTGATCATAAGTCTTCAGTCAAAGATAAGTATTATAAACAGTATTTAGGACCTGATTCTAACAAAAAATGGATGAGCAAATCTTATACTTTTTGGCAGCATTCTCTGAGCCGGAAAACAAGCTTTTATACTAATTGTGTATGAGTATTTACATCAAGATCCTATCAAGTATTGACAGCAACGAAAATCCAAACTGGTTGGAATCCTCTGGTGATGCAATTGTATTTGTAGCTTCTTAGGTTTTCATGTAGCTATCAAGGAACCCGAATGTTTTGATGGTCTTTCATCTTATTCGAGGTACTGCCAACATGTTTTAGTGCAGACCTATGATGGGAGCTTCCTTGGTTACTCCTACTGTTCTTTGAGTTCACGCAAACTGCATCAGGTGTGAAGCTGTGGCGCACATGTACTTGATGTGTTCTGGCCTCAGTTGACTGACTCGCTTTAATACTGATCATCAAAACTACCTCCTTGTCTTTTGTATCCTCAGACCACCAGCTTTGAGGAATGCCATCAACAGAATCTCCTAATGACTGGCTATCCTCATGACGAACTAAGATCTCAGCGGCTTGATCAGGTTTGACAATGCCAGCCGCAGGTGTGACCTGAATCAGAGAATCATTAGGTGGCATTTCTTTCAGTAAAGGCCCATTTTCAGTTCCAGAAAAGTTTATGTTAAAGCGAAGGAGACTGACAAAGCATTAGATAGATTAAGAATCAACTAAGAGAAAATGGACTTGCTTGGCTGGTCAGATTTGATTAATGCTTTCTCCATCAGTTTTCTTTCTAACTATGTGCATATCAGAATGAAGGGACACCCTTTCATCCAAGTTCTCTATTTTAGTCTCTTTTAGTAACATCTTAACTACCTAACATATCCTGTATGACTAGAGAAGAGGTAATACTGTTCAATATTTCCATGAGCATCCATTTGTTGCTTCATGTAGGATGAGAAAGTATAAACCCAAATTAAGAGCATCTAGGAAATGAAGTATCACCTCAAGCCACCTGGGAAAACCAAAGGAACCTCTGGGATGATACTCTTATGCTTGCCCATCCTCTTTGGCAGTGGACTGACCACAGCAGGTCAACTGGAAGAGAACTTTGTCTTCTCTACTTCTGTTGGAAATTTTTAAGCTGAATGTGTCCTGATTCTGAATAACAATTTGGGTGGTGCTAACATCTGTCTCTGGGATATAATGTAGTTCTTCCAGTATAGACTT